GGGGGACAGCTTGAGGCTCTGTCTCAAAAAAAAAAAAAAGAAAAAAAAGAAAGGCCGACCTACGACAACACAGGCCTAGCCAATATATATGAATGAATTTGTGGACATGCTTTTGCTTTCCTAATAAAAAGGCGTAGATTTGACCTATCCTCCCTTCTCCCTTCCTTATTCATATTGTAAATGTGAAGATGATTCACTTCACAATGAACTATGAAAGTATCTTTTTTTCCATTTTCTTTTCTTTTTATTGTTTGGGATTCATTGAGGGTACAAAGAATTTAGTTACAATGATTGTATGAAAGTATCTTTTAACTATGAGGCAGCATGAGCCAATATTTAAGTGTAAAGATGGAGGCAGTTTGGGTGTCTGGTGGTATCATTTAACAGAAAATAATCCTCCTGTTACTTAAGAAAAATATACTTCTATTTGTTTGGCTCAGGGCTTGTAGCTCAACGGCAAGGTACCAGCCACATATACCAGAGCTGGCAGGTTCGAATCCAGCCTGGGCCTGCCAAACAACAGTGACAACTACAACCAAAACAGCTGGGCGTTGTGGCGGGTACCTTGGGAGACTGAGGCAAGAGAATTGGTTAAGCCCAAGAGTTTGAGGTTGCTGTGAGCTGTGATGCCACAGCACTCTACCCAGGGTGACACAGTAAGACTCTGTCTCAAAAAAAAAAAAAAAAAAAAGAAAGAAAGAAAAAGAAAAGAAAAATATACTCCTATTTGTTTAAGGTATTGTGAATTGAGTTCTGTGACCTATAGCCAAAGGAATTTCTAACTGATATTCCTGGAAATATATTTTTAAAATAAAATAAAAATAAAAGAATTCAAATGCTATACAGTTTTAGAAAGATTATAGTAAGTCAGAAATATATATTGCAAACCAAGTCCCTTCCTAATGTCTCTGAATTAAAAAATAAAAGAAAAAAAAAAAAAGAAAACAGGCTTGGGTGTTGGCTCATGCCTATAATCCTAGCACTTTAGGAAGCCAAGGCAAGAGGATAACTTGAGACCAGGAGTTTGAGACCAGCCTGAGCAACACACCAAGACCTCATGTCTACAAAAAATATAAAAAATTAGCTAGACATGATAACATGTACCTGCAGTCTCAGTTCCATGGGAGACTGAGGTAAGAGGATCACTTAA